TGGGTGGATGGATGGATGGATGGATGGATGGAGATCACTTATACATTTTTTCTGTCCTTTTTATCAAGGAATGTATGCATTATTCAACGTGTCGCAATGTAATGGCAAAAGTGCCAAGAATCCCCCACTCACTGGCAAGACACGAACATACTATATCGCTGCTGAAGAAGTCATTTGGGATTATGGACCATCAGGAATGAATAATTTTAAAGGTGGCAAACTGAATGCATCAGGAAGGTACTGAGTACTGTATTGTGTCTTTACTATTGTTTTGTCAAAAATAGAGCGTGAGTTTCAATGACAGCGGCGATATTGATCATATTGATCATCATTTTTTTATCATGCGATATTTTTATCGCGTTACCTTCAATATCGAACAAACACGAGAAAGAAACAGCCTTTTTTATGCAGTATTTTAGGAATGATTTGTTTACTCTAATAATATTTTTTAAATATTATTATGCAAGTCCGTGATGTTTAGTTTAGTAACCGAGACTGTTTTGACTTAAAGATCTACTTGCAGTTTCCTGTTCTACAAACCTCTTTCGAATAAATCTAAACATTCAAACCGCCAAGGTTAGACTTATCCAGATAGGTGATGTAAATAGAATCTCAGAGTAGATTACATTGTTATAGAACGATTTTAATATTCATTTATAAAACGAGCTCGTCAGACCACAGATACCTCGCGTACCGTAGTCCTACACTTTTTCGAACTTTGAACTGCATTGACTGGTGGTGTTTACATGTATCGATCATGTTAATAGTAACCTAAGCATGGCCCAGTTGGTTCAGTTAGTTCTGCGGAAGGTGGTGGATTTAACCTCAGGTCGGAACAAAGACCGCGCGCCTTGTTCCTCAGCAGTCACCACCGCTAACACTTCAGCAACATGTAAATGATATGATTGGAATTTAATTTATTTTCTAGCGATACTGAAGTCTTCTTTACCCGTGGTCCCCATCGAATCGGTGGGAAGTACAGGAAAGCTCGCTATTTTGAATATACAGATGCTTCCTTTACTTCCAAAAAGGATCAGCCCGACCATCTTGGTTTCTTGGGCCCCGTTATCCGGGCGGAAGTCGGGGATATCATCAAGGTTGTCTTTAAAAACCTGGTATGTATAGAGTATGTATACCTATCATGTCATGTGGGGGTGGGGATG